CACGTGCCTTATAATATTCACACCGAAATCTATCGACTTTCTGGCACTTCCAATAGAAGAAGTGATGCTGGTACTCTTTGGACCTGATTACGCCATTTCTCACTCACTTTTGAATCCGGAATGCTGCCACCTTTGGCGACTCATCCCGTACCACTGTGCAGCGTACTCAACACATGTAGAAAACAGATTAATCGCTTCTTCTACTCTTAAAACATCCACTGACAATGGGAAGCATTTTTTTCTGGTGGACGGCTTCTAATAAAAAGAAAACAGTTAAAGACACATTCACGACAAAATTTGTTTCTGTGTTTTCCCTATAGTATGAATTCGAGACTCTCTCTTGTACCATACATGCTGTTATAAGGTCGTGAAAGGATCTGGATAGGGCCCAATAAGGGGTCAGAGATTGTGTCGTGTGAATGTCATACCCATCGTGGACGACTTTCAACAGCTTTGTAAAGGCTACACTATCTCAAGAGACTCTTATGTAGGGAGTTCAAACAACTAGTCATAACCCATGGCGAGAGTGAAAGGTAGTTAACGACATTTTCGGCTTTATGTAGTCACCTCTTTGCGCAATGGGAGCGAGATAAATCTCTTCCAAGCACTCCTTACATGCCATTCCCTTTGCAGTGATCTCGTACTATCTCCTTTTCACTAACTTTAAAAAGCCCTGAAGTAGAAAGATTTTCTCGTTTTCTTCACCACTCCTCTACATCAACACTTCCTTTTTCAATCTGAAAATGGACCTCAGAATTGTCGTGAACTGTGCCCCTAAGAATGTTGAGGTTCTACGAGATTGTTTTGCAAATTCGTCTCAAAGTATGCTGTGTGAAACTCATTGGGGGAAAGCGAGGTAAAAAAGAGGGCCAAGGCAACTTCTATCTTCATTGCCTATTTGTTTCATTACAATGCTTGCCGACGTTTATCGGCAATAATAACAATCCATCCTTTTGGGCTCTTCTATTTTCGTATGGTATGGATCCGTTTATTCCAATTCCTCCCCCCTGACATTTCAGGACGTTGGCTGCCTTGACGCTACAAGAGTGAAGCTTGACTATTATGGAGGCGACGACTATATCCATGCTAATTATGTGGGCACGCCAACTAGTTCGAGGCGATTTATATGTACTCAGGTAAAGTCCAAAGAGCTCCAAAAGTTTAGAAGCCTGCCGATTTTATGCCACGTTCTTGAGGCTCCATTAGAGAAGACTTGCAAGGAGTTCTGGTTTATGTGTATGCAAGATCGTGTCGAGTTTATTGTTATGTTGTGCAACTTTATTGAAAAGGTATAACTTGACGCGCTCTCCCACTTGAGTGTCAAACTTTTGCCAAATTCCGATTTAAGGGAGCCAAGAAGTGCTACCAATACTTTCCCCTGAGTGGATCGATGACATTCGGTGAGATCACAGTCGCGTTTGCTGGTTCGACAATGGTAAGTTTAAAAAGCTCTTCTGTTTTTCCACAGTCACTATTCGGCCTCACAAATACCTCTTTGCTTTCTCGAATAATCAACATCGAGCCATCCCAATAAAATTTGGAACATGGGTCTTTTGCAGAAAAAAAACTGCGAGAATCACCCTCCTGGAATTTTCACTTGCTTGGTGAGACTGTGTCATTCCAGATGCGCTTCACTTGTCCCACAAACGCCCAAGTGCGAATAACCACGCTTATTGTTGAACGAAATGGTCGGGTGAGTACTGGAAAGTTGTATAGTTTACTCTACTTTTAGTTCAGGAAATGAGTTTTCTAATAGAAATCATTTATGCACTTCACTCGAAAGAGCATGTGGCGCTGCGCTCGGTGCGCCTCGATTCTTACTGTTGATCGTTCGCCTGGCTGACGCCGGGCTTTCCTACTTCTCGTGCTGAAATCGACCCGGCCGCATCCTTCCAAATTTGTAAGCCCAGGTTCTAGAGATCACGCGTTATTGAATTTCAGCATACACACGCCCGGCCCCTTCGTCTCGCCATAAACGGAGTCCTAGTTCTACTCGAGTCCTGTGTGTTCAAGCAACTTGGTTCACTTATTTACAATACCTACCCCATCTTGGCAACGTATTTCTTCTCGATTACGCCCATTTCGAGCACGCCTCACTTCTTCCATCCTCCCTACTACTGTCTATCATTGCGCAGGCCCCGCCTTCTATGGGCGGAGTCCAGTCCTGCCACCCACCATACGTATTCCCATCTGGTCGCCTGTACTCCCATTAAATTTGAACGCTCAGGGTGCCGTGGGCAGCGGGACACACACACGCCCATACACACATACACTGCGACACCCATATAAACAAACACACACACAGGTATTGCGTTATATTTAGAAGGATAGACGTCTCGCTGAGCACGACGCCAATACTTCCCAGTATATGATGCTCAGGGAGATGCACTTGTGTAATGAATGCCTTACAATTAGTCAAGCTACACTAAGGCATACTGCTCGATTCTAATGTCTGTCACTCCGTTTAATGTCCTTTTTTCATTTGTGAAACAGCGTACAAGAGTTTTTCTTGAAGGTAGTGGGAGCAATCTGCTCCAATGAAGGCGAAAAGTGAAAAAATTGAGCTAGAGGCTAGGGCGAGTTTTCGTTGTTTGATGCTGTGCTACATATAACAATATCGACAGTCCTATTGGGAAATGCAATATTCTACAAGTGACTTTAGCCACACTTAGCAACGAACACCCTGCCACTCTGGGTACATAGTACCATATCCATTCAATCTGTTCAGTGTTTCCAAAACGCATTTCCTGTGGTGCGGGTAGGGTGTAAACGTGTAGGCTTTGGAATCGGCTTGAAGAGCCTCAAGAGTAGTAATGTTAACTGACCGGCCATAACGAATGAGCTCAACCTGTCTCTCGACATTAGAGGATTCCATTTTCCACTTCTGAAACGGTTCGAAATGAACTTGGGAAAGTGATCCGCAGGTGTATCACGGTACCTCTAAGGAGAGTTGCTCGTGTAACTCACTTATCTTTAACCTAGAGTTGAACCAGAAATGAGCTGAAATGTGAAAAAGGCTCAGGTGAATCACAGATATCTTAAACTTCCATGATTAAATGGCCAGTCTAAAACGCTAATCGAGTAAAGCCGTCTCGGAGTAGCGAAATAACGTGCTCACGAATCTGTTCGTTTTTAACTGATGACACTTCAGTTGTAGATGAGATGTCAGGTGGTGGTTGAATGGGTCGGCATCCCGATCCGACAATGTTGGTGTGCACCTTTTTCGTTTTGAAATGCGCTCCTTCAATTTCTCATCAGACTGGAAGTGGGTGTGTGTGTCCTACACGATGACTTATAGAGGTCAGCCGATCAACAAGCCGATACTGATGTTTTTATCATCCTAATTCATCTGGTATTAAGTAGCTGACTCTGAAAAATGGAAAACCTAGTTGGCTTAGGCGAATGATCATGTGTGTAATATAATGGTAAGCTTCACTCACTACCACACCCCCTTAGCCCCTGATGAGCTCGCTTTCCTATCTCTATGATTCTTATTTGTCAGAAAATGAGGACAAGGCATCTACATTGGATTGATTGGCCGGACCGTGGAGTGCCTCCAGCAGATACAGCAATTGTCCAAGTGCTGGAGCTCATCAAAGGCACACAGTAAGGCTTCTTTTTTTTCGTCGTTCTGAACAACTCGAACATCAACTTGTTCCTCAGAGCACCAATCGTGGTTCACTGCTCAGCAGGTGTTGGCAGAACCGGCTCGATGGTTCTTATCCAGTACATTCTAGAATCTATCTCAATGGGAGGGCCCCTAGAGGAAACTGATAAAGTGCTTCTCAAAATCAGAGCTCAAAGGGCCAACACTATACAGGCGAGTCAACTTATTTCGTGTATATAACGAAATGATTTGAGATTCGGACCAGTTTCAGACCGATCAGCAGTACTTGTTCGTTCATCAGGTCTTGCTCAATTACTTCGTTGAAAATCAACTTCTTGACCCCAGATGGAAACCATTCTTGAATCGCTTCACAGTAGAATACAATAGGAGCGTCTTCTAGAACAGACCTCTCTAGTTCACATCTTAGCGTTATTGTGGATTATATTAATACGATCTCTCACCTTTGAAAAACGTTGATGATTTCAATGGATTCAATTTCTTATACGTGAAATGTTAAAATCAATAAACTGACAGTTGGGATTTGGAATGAATACGACTCACATTGTGTAAAACAATGCTGTAATTGTATATACATATGTCCTGAATGAATACTGTGTTCTTGTGTCCTGCAATGAAATCTACACGCTCTCGAATTCATCGTCCTTCACAATCGTTGACCAATCGCCATCCCATTGTGTCATCCGATACCCGTCATTGAATGATCAACCAGGAGCAAACTAAGAGTTCGAAAATCATAGTCATAGTGAGTACAAGGCAAGTGCATATATCACAAAATGAAGGGCTCACAGGAGAGGGACACCTACACGCGTTACTGTGCGGTCTATAGTGAACGCTACACTACAACGCATTGCCAGCCCCCAATGTTCCGAGTAATAGTTTCCCTCTAAGGATTTACTTCACCGAGGGTTCCGTCTCACTGAAGGATCACAGCCGGTTTGCGATGAGGCTACGTAGGGCATCCCTAGGGGGCTGATAGGTGAGTAAGTCGCCGGCTAAAGGTCGCCGGTATTCGTCCAGAGACGGAGGTGAATTCAGGGGAAGGACTCCCTGCTTCTACTGCGCTGGTCGGGATACTTCTCCACCTCGCAACTGTATTCATGCACAAGTATTTGGAGAATCTGCGGGTACAGTTGGTATCCTGCTCATCGAGTCAGCCAAAAGCTCGCATTCAAATGACTGAGAAGTATGGGGGAGGCGATTCGGGGCAGGCTCTCAAAAAGAAATCCTCGTTCACTTCGGAGTAGCCTGGCTAGCACTCGAAATCATCCTAGCCCACACGTTAGAGCCTGTCAGGTCACTCGTTGGGTACCCATTTGCCGAAAACCTTAGTATAAGGGGCTTCCTTCCCCTGAACCTGAATGAGTCCCCAGTACGGCAACGTTGAATAGGACCGCTCGGGAGTGGCTGCTAAATTCGCAGGGCCAAAACAGGCTGGCTGCCCGAAAGGAGGAGGACCTAAGATGGGATCTGTACTTTCAACGCACGGACGCTTACAGCGGAAACGTGTATTGAAGATGTAATGATGCAAGCCAGGAAGATCAAATACGACGTCATCGGACTGATAGAGAAGAGAAGGCACCGCCTGCTGCATGCTATATTCGAGACTGAAGAAGAATGTTCTTTGGAACATGCATTCTCGTCAATACGCACTTTGCTGTGAACATCGATTTGTACGAAAGCTTGACCACCGGAATCGGACGTTTGTGATTAAGAAGATGTGGCTCAGCACCAGCTCTAACAATCTTAGTTGCCTACGCACTAACATCTAGCTACAAAAAATAGTCATCTTCGGTATTTTCAACACCAAGGTTAATCCCAGAAGAATGGCTGAAGAGCCCATTTTGAGATTAAAGGAATGGAATGAACAGGGTGAAAAGCTGAAAGAGTTTATCACGTCGACCCACACCATCCATGTCGCAGTTCCTTCGTCTCCACAACGCTAAATTCTGTTTTTTTTCATTCTGTTCAATCATTTGAGGGCGCTTATTTAAGGGAACGGCGGTACGTTGAACGGGATTTCCCATATGTACCCATGATGCACCTGAACGACAGTGTACCGCAGCTGGGACGAACTTCTGATCAATAGTGACACATAATGGGTAGAGAAGTCAAGGAATGGAAGAGGAACGACGCAAAAGGTTACATTAGGCAGAGTTAACAGAAGAACATCTATGGATTACCGAGCAAATGCTGGGGAACGATTTCCAGATAGATTAACTGGCGTGGATAGATTAACTCGGCAACATTTGCTATCACGCTTAATGCTTCAACAACATAATATGTAACAAAAAGTTCAACTACCTTCACCAATAAAATTCGGGGAACTCAACAAGGCTTTGGTTCTTTCAGGTATCGTATATTGAAGTGAAATCAAATCACGCTCCAACATCCCGTTTAAAGGCTCATATTTGGAAGCGGCTATGGAGCTCCTCAGAAGATATAATAACGCTCTATCACTGTCAAAGTGAGAGTTCCCTCATGAATTTCTTTTGAAGCCTGTGTCGTTGAGAGCAACATGCGTCATTTGAAATGGGAGAATATAGGAGTGAGAGTGATGTTGTTAAATGAGCTTCTTCCTTATTCCAGAGACAGTTTGCGTTTGATCACCGATGGAAGGACGGGAACTAAAGTTCATAATTGTTGAGTTGCAATGCAGGATGTGAGTAGCTTTCAACAGAAAGACTGATAATCAGAACAAGACTGACGAACGAAGCTGCTTTTGTCTTCAAAGACCACTGAAGAACTATTGGTTCGCGGAGCCTGCTCTGAGTTCTGCTAAGGCTATCACAAAGCATATCAAGGTGTGAGTACGATAAACCCCTATTTCTCGTGCGAAGTCACTTGACCTGACTGCACACGCTTCTTGTAGCCAGTAGGGCTTGAATATAGGGTGCGGATGAAGATTTATGACTGCAGAAACATGAACTAGCAGAGATAAAAATAATTGACCTCTGAAGTAATAACTTATTGATTGATTAGAGGTGGTTGTGGTTGTCATACTACTAAAAATATGTGAATGAAAAGTTTGGTCATGTTATAACAGGGGATTTGAGTCTTATAAGAGAGAGGAAACTAGGATCCATTTTGGAAAGAGGAACAAACTATAGATTGGACGGTGGCATCACAAGACCTGACGTAATAACATTTATATGGATACTATGTTCGAGGTTATTTCGTTCTTCCAATGTGACCATAAATTAAACGCATATCAGATAGGTCTACTTAAAGGCACCTATCACAAAAAAAGTTAGGGTACCCTGTTCTGACGGGAATTGATAGAACTACTCTAGAATAAAGCGATAACAACGAAAAAAGCGCAAAAAACGATGAACAAAAAGAATTAAAAAGGGCCAAAAAAAGAGCTGGAAAGGGGGTTGGACGAGTTTCACAGTGAAAGAACGTCGGTTAGAGAGTGTTCGGGCAAGTTGGAAAATTGCCAGGGACGGCAAATTGGCAACTTGCCAGAGACGCAATGTGTTGTCTGCAATAGCATGCAACACATTGCGTCCCTGGCAATTTGCCAATTTGCAATTCAGGGTGGGTCCTGGCGCGATTACATGACACTGTGTCGTCTCGACACTCGTCTAACGTGACACCGATCAAGGGGCGGAGGGCGACCGTGGATATCTGTCCGGCCCCTGATTGTGCCCTATTCAGCCGTTTTCTGACCTCATTCCTGCACAAATGGTATCAGAGGGGGCGTCGAATTCGAACTATGTGCAAATGTCCGAAACAATGTTTTTGTTAACAGTGCCTTTAAAAAGCATGTGTACTCTTGCTAATGTAAAAAAGGTAAACCACTGTTAACCAAATCTAGCATAAGTANCAGGGACGGCAAATTGGCAACTTGCCAGAGACGCAATGTGTTGTCTGCAATAGCATGCAACACATTGCGTCCCTGGCAATTTGCCAATTTGCAATTCAGGGTGGGTCCTGGCGCGATTACATGACACTGTGTCGTCTCGACACTCGTCTAACGTGACACCGATCAAGGGGCGGAGGGCGACCGTGGATATCTGTCCGGCCCCTGATTGTGCCCTATTCAGCCGTTTTCTGACCTCATTCCTGCACAAATGGTATCAGAGGGGGCGTCGAATTCGAACTATGTGCAAATGTCCGAAACAATGTTTTTGTTAACAGTGCCTTTAAAAAGCATGTGTACTCTTGCTAATGTAAAAAAGGTAAACCACTGTTAACCAAATCTAGCATAAGTAGTATGGGAAAATGTGCCCCTCGTAATGTAGTTGAACAGTATCAGAATAAGAACACCTTCTGTCCATTGGATAAGGCGGGAAACATTCACCTATATTTGTAAGACATTTTATTTGTATCCTTCTTATATATAAAGCAGTAACTTGGTTTGTCGGTTTGTCGGTATGACGGTATGTCGGTTTGTCTGTATGTCGGTATGTCGGTTTGTCGGTCTGTCCGTCCGGGTTACTTTGTGATAATGATAAAGGTAGTGATATGGAAAACTTATTCCTCTTATATAAAAAGCAGTCACTTTGTGGGTAGGCTAATGGAGTAAAGTGAGCACTGCGGAGTGAAGTGAGTAATATGAATTGAGGTGGATGATTTAAATTGTGATCTCTACTGTACTGTAATGGCAGTACTTCGACACTGGTTATATAATAATGCGCTATAATGCGCTCGATAATACCTATACCTACGAGGATACTAGTAATACGTATCATCTCATGCAGTGTAATAATGAGTAATCACTAGCATTAAAAGACAAATTTCTTTGTATCCGTAATAAGCTCAATGTAACTCCAGAGGCGAATTTGCCAATTATTCATGCGCTTCCGAAGTTACATAAAAATTCAGTCCAATTCGGATTCATAACGAGTGCTCATAACAGTAGTATCAAATCTTTAGCTCGAGAATCACATAGAATCTTTGAGTTTTTGAGGAACACTTCCTTAAATACATTACTGTAGTACAGAGCAGAGAAAGAACAATAAAGACATATTGATCTGTAAGTAATATTAATATTAGTCATAAAATCCATTCCATTACTCATGGTTTTCTTAAATTATATACCGCCGATTATACTGATACCAGTTGGGCTACGCACGCTAATGCGTGCACCACATGCACACCACCGCTTACCTACGACTTGTTAGAGAACCACTATGAACTGTATCGGTTGTCTTCCCATTTCATAACTCTTTCCTCACCGCTCTCACGTGACTTACACTTTCTTCATTGTGCCTGAGTGACTTTCGGAAGGACGCACAAACCGACCCACAAACAGACACACAAAGTACCGCTTCATGTATAGAGGAGTCGGACCGCCCGGCTAACGCCTGACCTCCCTCCTTCAATGATAGAGTCGTGATAAAAGGCAAACAGATTACTCTTTCTTTTGAAGGCGTAATACTTTTCGGAACATGAAGTTCGATAGAGGAACAACAGAGCATGCAAACGATATTCGAAATGTGCCGATGCCTATGCCTTTGATTAGAATCTGTCTGTCTCGATCTGTCGCCGTTGGTGTTAAAAATAGCGACCCAATGAAGATTCAAGTGGTAGGCACTCAATGCATTGAATGGTACTCACAAATGTTGTCGAGTTATAATACCATTATGAAATGTCTTCATGAATGTAGCTCCTTTACTTTACATTATTAAATGAGAACCCAAGATTGTTAGCGGATAAGTTTTGTCATGAACGACATCAAAGCAGAGAGAAACCGTGATCCTCCATTGAATCGCATGCTTCGCTGGGTAGCGGTCGTAAGCAAGAAGTGAACCAAATTCCATAATGGGTCCCTATCAGAGCATTTACCCTTCTTGTCGAATGAAACATATCAAAGAATCACAGCTAAATCGTATATAACAAACGCACTAGGATTCAAATGGCGATTGGATTTTGTTCTCCAAGCCTCCTTTATCGTCAGACTTCCCATCCTGCCCTCTCTGTACTTATTGATTCTGCTGTCCAAGTCCACGGGGTCAGGAGTCACGGATTTTCGCTCAGACATTTACTTCACACAAACCCCGCTCAGAGGGCGGAGTCCGGTCCTACTATCCACCATAAGTGTTCGCATACTGCCGCCTGTCTTCCTACCATGTTTGAGCGCCCTAGGACTAAATTGACAATTGTGTCGCAAGCCCTGCTTCCTGTGGCAAGATCCTGCCACCCACCATTAATGTTCTCACCCTGCCTCGGGTACTCTTACCCAATTTGAAGTTTCTAGGTTCACGAGGGCAGGAGTTATGATTCTCCGCTGAAACATTTATTTCGCACAAACCCCGCCCCTGTGGGGGAGACCGGTCCTGCCACCCACCATATGTGTTCCCATCCTGCCGCCTGTGCTCCTACCAAATTTGAACGTCGTAGGTCCACGGGGACATGAGTTATGGATTTCCGTACAAACAGACAGACAGACAGACAAACAGACGGACGGACGGACAGACGCGAGCGCTTTATATAAAGTAAGGATGTTCACAAACTCAAATCACAATTTGATTATCCTACTTTATACAATTCGCTAAGTGTGTCTGTTGGTGTGTCGGTGTGTGTTTGATCGGAGATTCATAGCTCCTGTTCCAGTGGACCCAAAGAGTTCAAATTTGGTAGCAGTACAGGAAGCAGGATAGCAACATTGATGGTGATAATAGTTAAAAAGAGTTGATAAAGAGCCTTGAAAGGCGAGAGCCACAGGGACCGTTTCTTACTTCTTGTTGCAGAGCTTCGGCACTTCGGAAAACTGTTAGAGACTGATAGAAACTGATAGGAAGCGAAAGCCAGTAAATCTACGGCGTTATTCATACTAACAACTGAGTATTCCAGTAGACAGTGCAGGATGTGAAGGGACCGAAGTTAATTAGTGATAAGGACAGATAATAACGAGCGAGCAAGCTTTGCAATCCCCTTCATGTCACCAGTGGAACCTTTTTAAAGTCGGCAATGTAGGATGTGACACTGTCGTAGGTACTCTGTAACAGGAGCTGATAACAACTGATAAGAACTGATAAGGGGCCTTAGAGAGCAAAAGGGTATTCATGATCAAACACTGACTCTTTAATGCTGTAAATGCTGTAATAGCGACTGATCAAAGACATTTCTCCATAACGCAATGAGAATTCTGTTCATTTCTTGCTATTAAACTACGACCGTTGCGCAGTAAGCTTTGTGTCACAATGAAGCTCCACGTTTCTTTTTTATTTTGTGACATATCATTTGTGACTAAACTCATCTGACCGCTAATGATTTGGGATTCCCAATTAATGAATAATCCGTGGACAAAATGTTCCATTGATAACGACATCTGTGATAGGTATTATTATCCATTTGCGGGTACCATTCAAGACATTGGTCGTCAGTCAGTTAAGCTGTCAATCTGACACAATTTTGAGATGAAGAGCAATGAATCGAAACTTCTAATTAGTATATAATTGATTGTGATACAGAAAAAATCGCTTGCATTTCAGAGCTAATACTGAGGGTGTAGAGCTTTCAAAGTAAAAGGAGGAGCCGAAGTGTTATTTACGCATAGCAAATTTGTTACAAGAAGGAAAAGCGCCCGGCGAAGCTGGGCGACCCCTCAAAGGCAGCGTTCACGATAAAAAAGGTTATTGAGTTCTTACCTTATTAATACTCAGCGGCCCCCATGGGTTGTAGAAGGGACCTCTCACTACCCCAATTTCGAGGGCATAGTGGCANCCGAACACTCCCTTGACCGCCGTTCTTTCAATGTGAAATTCGTCCAACCCCCCTTTCCAGCTCTTCTTTGACCCTTTGTATTTCTTTTTGTTCATCGTTTTTTGCGCTTTTTTCGTTGTTATCGCTTTATTCTAGAGTAGTTCTATCGATTCCCGTCAAAAAAGAGTACCCTAAATTTATCGTAAACGGTGCCTTCAAGAAGGAGGAAAGCCCAGCGTTAGCCGGGCGGTCCGACTGGTCTATATATAGAGAGAGAGGACTAGTAGAACATGCAAGGTGTATTCGAAATGAGCCGATGCTTATGCCTATGATTAGAGTCTCAACTTGTAGGTGTTCATCTTAAAAATAATGACCCATTCAAGTTTCAACTGCTAGGCATCCAAAGCCTTTATCAAATGTCTTTATAAATGTAGCTCCTTTGTTCTACGGATATATCATTAAGTGAGATTGCAACATTAATAGCGGTCGGATGAGTTTTGCCAAGAATGATATCAAAGCAGACAGAAACTGTGATCTTTCATTGAATCGCAAACTTTGCTGAGTAGCGGTCGTAATCTAATAGCAAGGAGTAAACCAAGTTCATTTTCTTACATCACATCACCCTTTTTGTTGGATGAAACATATCAAAATATCAAAGCTAGATCGTAAATAACAAAGGCGCTAGTATTCAGTTGGTGAGTGGATCTTCTTCTCTAAAGCCTCTTCTATTGTCAGTGTTCCCATCCTACCTCCTCCTACTGATTTTGCTATCCAAGTCTACGCAATCAGGGTTCATAGATTTCCTCCCAGACATTTATTTCGCGAAACCGCGTCCCTTGGGGCGGAGTCCGGCCCTACTTCTCACAATAAGTGTTCCGATACTGTCGCCTCCTTCCTACCAAGTTTAAACACCCTAGAGCCAAGCAGAAAATTTTGGCACAAACCCAGCCTTCTAAGGGCAGGGTCCCCTTCTCCAACTTACAATAAGTGCTCCAATTCTGCCACCTGTACACATGCCAAGTATGAACGCCCTGGGGACAACTTGACAACGGCGCAAAACTCCGGAGGCGGACTCTGGTCCTGTTACGCACCATAATTCCAATCCTGCCCCCGTGTACGTACCAAGTTTGAACACTCTAGATCCACGGGAACAGGAGTTATGAATTTCCGGTCGGACACACACACCGACACACACACACAAACAACAAACACACAGATTAGCAAATTATATAAAGTAGGATAAACTTATTTGTTACAAGTATTCTATCAAGGATAATGTTGATAATATCACCAAATTGGTTAGAGGAATTATGAAAATTTTCCAGTAATCATCGAAAGTACAACTTTTTTTCATATGTGTACTTTGTTTAATTGTATTGAACAATGCATTTCATACATTCTTTTGTCCACTGACCCCAAACCTTGATGAGGCTCAGGGGAACGTGGAAATGGTGGTTCTGGTGAGGTGGCGAAACGAGCCATCATTTACTTTATTTTATTTATTGTCACTTTATTACGTTTTTCACATTACTTAACAAGCTTCACTAATTCCAAGTTGTTATACTTATTAGAAATGACTTTGGTTAGAAAGGATAAAGACTTGAGGCGTTGCTCGGTAATCCGTCGAAATTCGTTTGCGAATGTTGCATTATACCTCCTTCTGCGACGTTCCTCATCCATTCCTTGACCTCGCCACCCACTATGTGTCACCACTGGCCACTACGTGCTATCAGTCCGACCCAACTGCGGAACACTGTCATCCACGTGCATTATGAGTGCATATGGGGATTCCCGTCCACCATACCACCGTCCCCTAATTTAAGCTCCCCTAAACTGACAACAAGCAGCGATTCCAAAGGTCATGGATCTCTCGGCGCTGCATCAAAGTGCTAATTGTACATGGTATTGAGAATTCCAGTAAGTTCGGGCAAAATTCAGCCGTTGTTCGGCAGTCCTGCCTAGTCAGTTTTCGTTCGCCGTCTGTTCTTAGCTCTCCTCAAGGACTTCGAGCTCTCTCGTCTGCAGTATTGCTCAAGTTTAAACATTTTATATGTATAGATATTGCTGCTTTGGCAGAATCAGAGATAGCTCTTTGTAGTTGGTAATCCACTCTTTTCTGATTTCGCGCTTGCTTGTTGTAATAACCTAGGCTAGTAAAGGAAGAAAAGTGTAGAGCGCCAGCTCAGCCGTAGGATTACAGCCCGTGTTGTAAAATAGATTACGGTTGAAATCTATGCGAAAAGAGGAACTCGAATAAGATGAATAGTGGCTAGTTCCAATGCCGCCGACAGATTTCGTTGCCTTCACTGGCCCATGTCGCTGACAGCAGAACGTGTCATCGTCAGAGAATTATCCCCTATCAGATTTTCGAGAACCAAGGTAATGTCATGGCAAAGCTGTAGTATTAGTGAAACAGAACTGGCGAAATTGCTTCACTGCTACAAGTTTTCAATTCGACAAAAAATCCTGCCAAAGCAACCATTCACATCGGATGGGCACATCAACAAGGTGTATTTCAAAATCAATCCAAAGGAGTTCTAGCTATTCCGTAGATTACCCGTCACAAACTTATCACCTAAAACGTCTCCTTTGATCACCCCCTGGTAATGTACTCCACGAAAAGATAGCTTTTCAGCCGTACTTCAACTACGAAATGAGAAAAACCGAAGGAGTGAGGGCAAAGGTATGACTTTGTAGTGAACCCGGGAATGCTACTCTCCAACTTTGGTCTCGTTTTGTTGTGCCTGTTTGAGATCGTTATTATCTCACCAGTACAACCGAAGACCTCATGGGGCGGCATCCTTTCGACGATTCACCGATGGCGATAGCACGATCGGCTATGTCATGGACAACCCTCCCCCAACTACCGTGATAAATAGGATCATTCCACATAGTCACAACTCTTTCCACTTCTAAGTTCCTCTTCTTTATCAACAATGTCTCTTCGCTTGCTTTTATCCTTCAGATCTTTTGCTTTCTTGCTATCCTTTAAATTTTTCCAACTGAAATCATAGGAGAGGTCCACCACATTGTCATGGTCTTTCAGCTATGATAGCCATTTGATTGTGATCTTTCAGATGTCATTCTGGGTATTGAATCTGCTATGCCTCCTCCAATTACCAACAATGGCATTATCAAAAAATGTCGAATCAAGTAAGCTGAGCAAATTTTCTTTATATAAAAGATTCTAACTCGAATGTTCTTTCAGGTGACAGTTACGATCTTGATGACATTCGGTTCTGGAACAGTATCGGTAAAAGAAATATTGAGAAGAAGTTGCAACTGAACCCTCATCTTCTAAAAGGTGAGTCACTTGGAATAACAGTGGTCAATCACGAGGCTAAAGCAAATCTCATGCAATATTAATACCGTATACCACAACTGCTGAAACAGCGTTTATCTGCACCTCAAATTGTGGAAATCTCGATTCTCGATTCACTTACGAGCTCAAATTGGGTATTCTGAAGTTGAGCGGCTTTTCGCTTAGCGTTTAGTGATGAGGCGCTGCTGCGGCATGTGTGAAAGAATAGAAAAGTTGTTACTCAAAGCTGAAAATCGGTCAGAAGTAGCCATAGAACGCTAGTAGTTATTATGTTGGTGCCAGTGATTTTATTGCTGTTGATTAAAAGGTGAACTGATTTTTGCTAAGAAAATTTCAGTTTTGATGTTCTTCCTCGTTGAGATCGAAAGTACCGTCTCAACATTCGAACGGCTTTCCATTTCAACCGAGAAAGGAGGCGGACCTTCGAAAAGAAGAGATGAAAGGCAGGAGAATTTCACAGAAATGTTACAGTGAAACCACCGAAGAATGTTATTCTGTTCGTTGGCGACGGGATGGGCATATCAACGGTGACTAGCGCCAGAATCAACAAGAACCAGAAGGCCGGACTCCATTATCTAAACACACCACTGTATTTTGAGAAGTTCCAAAACAGTGGATTGGTAAAGGTTCGTAGATTCAACATTTGTTTTTATAAAATCGAGTAAGTAAGGATAAAGTCCTTCACGTCGAAATAAACCCGCTCATTCCCTCTTTATTTGGTAGCTCAAAGGATTTCAAATGCGAAATTGACTTGTACAATTTCTCATTTGGAGATAATTCTCAGAGACGAAACATGTAACAGTCAACTGAATCTCTAGTGATGAAATGCTGGACTGGAGTAGGAGACCCTAGATACGGTTCGTTAGCGTCACGTGGCCCAGTTCGTCACTTCCCCAGCTTTTGAAAACTGTTATTTTCGAAAAAATCTTTGATTGTCATCTGTTTGCATTAAAAGGTTATTATCATGTCCTCTTGTAAGCTGAAAGTTAATCCATTGAAGACAGTCGCTAAATGGACACGATGAATTGTATTTAAACGTAATTATTGGTACTGTAATAGACAGCGTGTTTGGTTCACGGGCCCATTTAGTAAAGTGAAACTTTAGACTTCGACACGTTGCCCGGACTGGTCATCAAACTCTAGGTTAATGCTTGCCCAGACCAGTTTAGCCTTTCGTTCATTCACAATTGATAAAATGGTACCAGACTTGTCTGTGAGAGCAAAAATACTGACTTGCTCAACATCTGACATCGCAAGCCCTGTACAGAACAAATACGCATTAAAAGGCCACTGCGGTTCTGGATGGAATTCGATGGCCAAAGCAGATCCCAAAAATGAGGTTGATCAACACCAAAAAACTCTAAAACTGCGCTTCAATGTGAAGCACATTGGTACTCTTGAAAATGATAGAGTAATGTGACGGAATGAAGAAACACCCCAGTTGTGTAATTAAAACTTATTCGCCAGCTGGGAACAGGAAGAACCTCATGATTAACATCGACAATCTAATGCAAACTCCAATGAACCAGGGCGACCCGGTTGCTATCTTCACGGATCAGAGACTTTAGAGTAAAGTTCGTCTAGTAGGCCACCATTTCTGAGCTGAAATGATAGAAATATGATCGAAAAATTTACGGTAGAAAGTTCAAGTCCCATTAATTGACTTCTTCTATAACCGCATTCTCGTGATGGCTTTCAAACCCTCTCTGTTGTTCTACAGGTTATAATTTGAAGCATTTCAAGACAATCGCAAAGCGCTACCGTAGTCGGCACGGATCGCAACGCCGCATCTGCCGATATTCAACTACTGGGCATAGGGGAGACGGGCGATAGGAACGATTTTGGGTAATCGATTTGCCGCACGCGGCTGTAGCGTTCTTCATACAGCGTAATCGATATGCGATCATTATTTTATGCATAATTCTACCATTAGTACTTTTGTTCTTGTATTTCTTACTTATTGCTGCATACTGCCACATTCCTTCGCGCGCGACGCCCTCTCACCGCGACGCGACCATTTCGTTCCAAGCGCACCACACCCCTCGCATCATCTCCATTCTATAACTGAACCAAGCCTAATTCATCTTTCTAGTTAGACGGTATAAAGGAATCAGCCCGGATTTTCCTGGTTGCTAAAATACACGCGTTCCCGCCATTAGTAAGCGAGATGATAGAGCGCAGATTTCGAAGCCAGCATGTTGCGTAACGCTGGCGGGCTGTAGGAAATGATTGCGAATTGTAAATGTTATACGGTGGCAATGCGTAGGGTCGAAGTTCAACATTCGAATCATTCCTTCAACGATGTTTTCGACTTATAACCTCAATGACGTCACGACCTAGAAGAGAAAGGCGACAGAAGCATTATAACCGTGATTGGGGAGCACTGTTTGAAGTGTATTTTTATTACTACTAGAAGTGTTGAACCTTTTGAATTGGAAGCTGGATTGACTGACGCCACGCCGACATTTTTGCTGCACACAGGATTAAGGATGTACGGTGAATGTTAGGAGGTCCTATTATATGTACTTAGTTCTTGCTATCTCTGTTGCATACAGTTCGTTGGCTTTTGGTGCTCTCAAATTCATGGCCCACAGCTATTCATTGAGAATCCTGCGATTTTTCCGAGCTCAAGTGCACAACGTTCAGCACTTCTGTAGATGAGCAACGAGTTCAGCGCTGAACTGTCCCGAGGAAGCCGCTGAGAACATGATGCTACCTGTTTCCTATGGACCATATCAGCCTTCATCAAATGCGATTATCACTATACGCGACTTTTTCTTTTTTTTTTATCATGATCCGATCATACCCACCTACCTAATATATCCAATTCCGTCAGCATGAAAAGTTGAACGAGTTATAGGCTTTTATAGCGGTATTATTTCTACTGCCTCCAATCTGCGAGCCCATCACGCTCGACGAAGCGCGCGTCTGATTCAAAGGGTCTAGCCTTCCGAGCCTCTTTACGAATCCATCTCGATTATTATTTCTTCTTGAAAGCCATTATTCAGGATCCAACCAAATGCTTGTTTCCCTTTGAAAACGAACTCTTGCATCGGAAAGAATTAAGCGTTTCATATGGGAGCAACATGTTTCAACCTTGTTTATTTATGCTTCCCAAACCCATTTTTCTTGATTACATAAATCTGGAGTTCAGCAAGAAGCCCATTTAGTTGATCACGGCTCCCGATGTTCAGCAAAACGATCGCTCCCAAAACCTTACAACTTCGAAACTTATGAAGGATTTCAAAATATATTGTTCTATTCAAATTATTCAGGACTTCAAGATGTGTGGAGGATTATAACTTTGGCTTTGATCAATCCCGCTTATGGTCTGCGAGCCTCCGTCGTGGCGCTTCGAATGCGCGCATATACAGAGATTGCGATGGCCAGCCCACGTAAAATTCACTTCATTTTGTCCTTGCGGACGAGAGGGCGACAAGTAACCGCTATCGGGAGATTAAAGCACGATCTGCCTGGATTAGGATCGAGCCAGGATTTCACCCCTGGCTATGCAAGCGTGGTAGCGCACTACTTGCCGCCATACCACCGCCATTTCCAATGAATATGTGAAGTATAGATTATTGAAATAGTAAGGGATGAGAAAAATTCATTATGTTGACGTTTTTTGCTTGCTTGCTTTATAACTAATTTCTATTATTCATTGTGATAAGTTTAGACGAGCTCTTTTGACCACCATGTCACGGACTCAGCTGCTGGTGCTACGGCTCTTTTTACGGGAAGAAAGGTAAGGTTCAGATTTGAGGTCAAATTTGATAGTGAAATTTCGCAAGCATGAAACGAATGGGAGTGTCACGCAGTCTTTCCAGTCACTACGATGTTATCATAGATAGATACAAGATATAAATAGTAAAAATAATGGAACCAACAAACTGATCATTTGAATAGACGTTGACAGCTTATCTATGTAGGTGAACACAAAGACACTGGGGACTTTGCCGAGTGCGAAAGAGGGCTGTCCCAATTCGACCAGCACCGATATTGTGGATGGGATAGCGGAAGGAGTCCTTCAGAAAGGTAAAGAGTAACTATCACACACTTTGAACTTTGGATTGCTTCGTTTTTGAGATTTGTCGATGGGCTTCGTGACTACAACTCGAATCACACATGCTACTCCAGCGGCCCTCTACGCCAAGGCAAGCCATCAGGCGTTCAGCGCTTGGCCGAAAACCTCACTGAAAGTGATTTCAGGGCGTCGAACGAGATGCGGAATACGACGAAGCTGAAGTGCGTTGTGCAAGGGATATTGCTAAGCAGCTGCTCTCTTACCCGGCCTCCGAGTTCAAGGTGCTGTCGCGATCCATATTGAAAAAGTTCCATGATATTTTTTCACTGAGAAGTGCTTGTGGCGTTGCGGTCGTTAGTGAGGCATATGATTTGTTACTTTTTATTGCCTCACTTTACACAGGTCCTGATGGGTGGAGGAAGCAGTTACCTGATGGACAAATCTCGAAATGGATCACGAGGGGACGGAATTAATATCGACCTTGAATGGTTGCGTCTCGGTGGAAGCAGGAAGGTTTTGAGAACGCCATCGGACCTCAATCAAGTTGATGCGGCCAACGTTGACAAGCTGCTTGGTAATACTTCAGCCGTTTTAAACATATAGATAATGAAAGTTGCGAAATAATCCACTCCCGCGAGCCCTTTCAGCAAGGGAGCTACAGTTTTGCAGCCACCACATTTCAGGTATCTTTTCGGATTCCCAGTTTCCCTATCACCTGAGTGAGAAATTGGGAAACAAAAAAACCGTGCCGAGACTTCACGAAATGACAAAAAAAGCCATCGAAGTGCTCCAAAAAGATAATGAGGGATTCTTTTTAGTGGTGGAAGGTAAGGATGACGTTCATTTATTGACCAACTTCCATCTCTGGACTTCTCTCAGCTCTTCAATTCAAGCTCTTATGATATAGGAGGGCTGATTGATATCGCTGAGCACGAAAACTTCATGCATGTGGCGTTTTCGGAATTGTACGAATTCGAAGAAGCGGTTCAAGTGGTGAGTAGTAACATTCAAAGGAAAAGGTTTTCTGTTTAGAAGTCCAGTTTGGGGTTTTTTAATGCGAGGGATTGGTGTAGAGGCTATACAGGCTTTCGACTAGGGGCCTGTTCCACTCACTGCTTTGGATACAAAGACGTTCTCAAACTTTTTGCATAAACTCATAACTCACCACAGCTTATAGCCGGATAGTCTGTGGAACTGGTATATTGATAATTAGTCGTGAGGGGTAGGCATTTTTGTTTGTTTCCGATGACGTCGGCTGGCTTCAGCATCTTTATTTTCATATTAAACTGCCCCTACTCAGACCCTTCTCTTACACAGTCCCCTAAGAAAGATTTGCTTCCAATTACTCGTAGAAACAATTGCTTTTAGTAAACCAATAAAAATATCAACGAGAGTGCGGATCACTCGATTTTACAGGCCCATGAGATAACCAATCCGAATGAAACATTGATCATTGTCACAGCTGATCATGGCCATGCCCTCACACTTCCAGGATATCTTCAAACCAAACAATCCCTTTTCGGTGAGCATTTTGCATGGTTGCGCACTAAATAGAAGACAAATAAGTGTTTTCGATCAGCGTAGTCCTTAATTTCTCTGGGTGTATGCTAGTTGACATGTTTCCAGTTGAAAAGCTTTGTGGACGTCTTTTTTTTGTTATGGTCTATATTACAGTATTCTTTTTTGGAACTTTCCGATAAAACATGGGTCGCCTTCTCAGACGCATTCTCCCACGAGGATGGAGTCGTTTTTTTCTGAAATAATTCAAAAAAGTATTGCAATTGAGGAGGCACCCTCTTGGGTTGGACTTCACTTGGAGCTTGGCTTGGATACGGCTGAAAATTGCACATTCAATTAACTCGCGCATCCCGGCTGGAAACGTTAGGAAACGTTCTCAAGCACCTCTATGGGCTCGCAAAGTCGTTAACCACTCCTTACTTACGTTGTGGCTCCCAACGTCAAAGAATGGTTATGCTCTCCTGCTAACTAGGTTTTCAACAGAAGCTTGACAGTAGCTGTATCGAAGAGAGGCAAAAAATGAAACTAAGACAAGATCGAATAAAGGCTCTACATAGAAGGCCTCACGTTATTGGACGTCGCATGTATAACCATTGGTTAATCTTGTAGTCCGTTTTTTCTACTATCCTACTTACTATCAAGCGCTTCGTCTGTCGTCTGTCGTTCTGCCCTCTGTCGTTATGTGTGTCTGTCACGAGGTTCCTTAGGTCCTTTAGATTTGCCTGGAGAAACCGGGTCAAACGTGGGATGGTGGGCCATGTCCCGAGAAGTATAAAGCGCACAACAGCTTGGCGGAGCCCCGCCCACAGTGGGAGTCGCATGCATCGAGATGGGCTTACTGAGGACATGATTTCAGATTCAACCACAAGACGGCTCCAAAACTGTAAAGGTGGCTAGAGGTTTGCCTTGGTAAGCTACACCAAACTGGGGAGACCCACCCCCGATGGGCAGGGCGTCCTCCAAAAATGCAAAGCTTTATAAAGACATTTTGGAAAATCATAACTCCTGTCTCCGTGGACCTAGAAAGTTCAAAACTGGTAGGAGTACAGGCGACAGGATGAGAACACTTATGTTTGGAGGCAAGACCGGACTCCGCCCGCAAGGGGCGGAGATTAAGCGGAAACCCATAAATACTGTTCCTATAAACCTAGAGCGTTCAAATTTGATGGGTGGGCAGACATCAGTATAGGAACACTTATGGTGGGTCGCATGAATCGCAAGAAGGGACTCCACCCACATGGGGCCGGCTATGTGTGAAAAATTTAAACCTGGATATAGAGCGCTCATATTCGATAGAAGTACGGGCGGCAGACGGGAGAACCTATGTCGGCTGGCAGGACTTAACTCCACTCACAGGAGGCGAGGCGTGGGCAAAAATGATAATTCAGACTTGAAGCGAAATTTC